AAAGTCTTGGAATAATGGGTACCCTGTTACGAGAGCTGTTGAGTCTTGCAGGGGTTACTTTGTTCTAACATTTTCAGATATGATGCTGAGGAGGCAAACTTCCCACCCCAGCCCCCCGAGAAGCAAGCTTGAATTAAAGAGGTTGAAAGCCAGGAAAATACCATGGAACGTTTCATATATGCTTGCTCTGTGTTCCCTCCCTCCTAGGCATCTGCCTGTCATCTGTTTTGGAAACAGGATAGTGGTCTCAAATAGTTTTTGGTCTGAGCTAATGTGACCATTTGTAGGGTCAAGAAAACCAGCACTTTTACCCAAAATGGAAATAATCAGTTGCAGGAAGTTGTTTGTTTCTAGAGCATCCTATCTTGGAGTCCAGCTTCCTGCTTCTACAAACAGCTGCCTTATCATTCCCATTAGTAATCATAACTTAATGAATAACCATTCAGACTGAATAATACATAGGTAATATTGTTGGGGGGGGGGGGGGCGGGGGTGCAAGAATTCAGAATTCCACCTTTCTGTCATAAACTGTCTAATTTCTAAATGTGTTTCCAGCCTTTTTTGTTTGATCTTGTGTTTATGTTGACCTATGGCTTGGGCAGTTCTCCTTAGATGTTTGTTCCCAGGTACTGTCTGTCACTACTGGGTCACTCTTAGCTCTCCACTCCACTAATTATTTTAGGGGCTTGTTGTCTTTACTTGGTTCCTGATAAATTCCTCTTTCCCCCTCTTTGTGTTTGTTAATATCTAATCCTTTTGAAGAAATCTAAGACTCTCAGTATGTCCGTTTCTTCTAGTACAACTTTTCCCTTTCACCCTGGCCCAGAAGCTGTTCTCGGTCAGATGGAAGATTGTAGTGCGTGCACTAAGAAGAATCTGTTACTCCCTTGTCTGAATCCAAAAAGTGACAGAAGTGTCCTAAGCAATCAGATTATTTCATCAGTGGGTTTGCAGCACCACAAGAGATTGAAACTCTGCTAAAACATCTGTTTCCTGACAGGTTAAGTTCATTATTCCTGAAGTAAACTTCCAGAAAACGGCTTGTGTCCTTAACAGTAAGAATTCAACAGGCTAAAGATCAGGCTGACTGCTAAGTGGAAAAGTTAATGTTTTTTGTGAGGCACAATGCAGCCACCTGTGTACTATTACAGTGTGGAAATTAGTCATTTGTGTGGTATAGCTTTTGGTCTGACAAATATCAGAGGTAATAAAACCATCCTCATTTTTGTGGGTTTTTAAGTTGTTTTCCCTCTGTCTCCACCCACAAATGCCACGCATATGCCTCTCAACCATGCTGGTTTTTGGCTGAACTTGGTTGTATCAACTTACAGAGATTGTTTTGTTTTGTCCTTATCTAGAAGATTAATTTCTGAGGGAGGAGTTTAGTTATCCTTTGTGCTTCCTTTTCTATGGTTCTGTACGTTCCAAGTTACAGATCTAAATCCTGTATTGGTTGTAATCCTTATGTTCTTTTAATTCTTTATTTCTAGAATGAAGGAACACAAAATTGCACCTTTTTATGGCTACATTTTTTTCTTCTCCGAACAAGAAAGAAGCAGGCACTGATTAAATCCAAGCAGTTTGATTTTACATCAGTATGCAATCCTTTCAGTTGAAGAGAACCCCTTTCAAAAGCCTAGCAGAGTAGGCTACCACTGATTTGTTGGTATCCAGACTGAGGATTAAAATGAAGCCTGCTCCTTGAAAATGTGCTGGTAGTTGTAAAGAGGTCGTGCCTTTTTTTCCGTCTGTGATGTGTTCCTTTTGCAGAGAAACTCCTGTTGCTTCTCTTTCTCCTGGTGGAGAGGAAGAGAACCTTAAAACAAGTCTTGTCAGGAGAGCTAGGAAACTGAAGATGACTAGTGCCCCTTCAGATCTGCAGTTGTTGAAGTGCGTCTCACACTTTGAAGCTTTTACTTACAGCCTGCTACCTTATCTGCCTTGAGTAGTGGAATGATTTGCTTCACGGTAGTTCGAAGTCACAACCATGATCATCAGCTGCTGAAATGAACAGGGTATTTCATGCCATGCAACTGTCATTATGGCTCAAGTTAGGTTGGTGGTGTAGCATGGTTCATGTCAAACCTGCCACACTTCCATTTTGCTGCCTTTTCTTCTGTGTTGTTTCTTGTGCTTTTGCTGCTGTGAGGGGTTTTTTTGCCCCCTTCCTGTTAAAGGAGGGTGCTGAAACCTCTGCAGTTCAAAAGCCCCCATGGCTAAACAACTCCTCTAGGTGTGTCATCGTTTGACACAAGCTACTCTGTTGAAAAACAGGCTTCCAGATAATCAGGGAAAAAGTTTCTGAATCTGCTGAGACAGCACCACCAACATTGGGTGTTGTAAGTGTCCTCTTTACTTAGGACTGTGTCTTCTTTTTCTATTTACGGTGCTTTTTTAAAAGGTCAACTTAACCTGAAGCCTGGAAGCAGCTTCGTGAGTGCACCTTTTGCACTTGCAGAACCCCGTTGCAATGCTTGCGGTGTTGACAATGGCTGTAGAAACTGGGAGGCAGCTGGGCCCCACTGAAGTGAGGGGATAGCCCTGGTGGTCATCTCCAGTGCGGCAAGGGGCTGCTGTTGAACTTAGCCTTAGGGAGTTTAAAGCAGAGGGATACCTTGTGCTCGTTGTTGCCAGGCTCTTTGGAATTAAATGCAAATCTCGTGGGTAATAACCACAAAGTGTGTTTCACCTAATAAATGAAGTAAGAACTAGATAATACGCAACAGCGGTATGAAGAGCTTGTTATACAGAGTTCCCCCTCTCCTGAGGAGGTGCTATACATACTCCAGCTTGAAGGTGACGTACTTGGCTGAACCCTTCTGCCCAGCAGGGTGGCATCAAGAGCTTAAGAACGCTGAGAATTATGTGCAATGAATAATGCTTATCATTCCTGCGTTGCTTGTCTCAATGGAGGATTTTTCTTGAAGAGCAAAGACTCCAAAAGCTGTCTATCAGGCATTAGCCCGGGTTCTGTTTTGCTGAATTGCAAGAGAACGTGGGGAAAAATGGGTGGCTGAGGCCCCCTAGTGCCACCGGGGCACACTGCACCCCTCGGGCACAACGACCGCAAAATTGCGCTTTAGGTTTAATTTTATTTTTTAACGCAAAGAAACACTTTTTGGGCTAAAATACCTCATGATGTACTAAATGCTCACATGCAATTCTTTCCTTACTGGAAACATGAATTTTCCATGATTTATTTTTCATGTCTGGTTTTGCGAAGCGGTGCGAAAAGTGAGAGAGGGGATTCTGTTTGCAGCCGTTATCGTTAATGTTTCCGTTACAGGCAAAAAACTATACAGGGAAGCTGCAGGCTTGTGAAGTAAACTTTTTACCACAGTTAATTCTCTGCCCAAAGATGAGTGGGAGGAAACACTACACAGCTAGTGGTGTCTGATGCTGTGGTGTGTTACATAACTCGGGGTGGGAGGGATGGGGAAGAAAAAAATACCAGTGAGGGAGGAGCAAGATAGTTGTGGGGTTTTGTTTTGGTTTTGTGGTTATTAGCCATGTGGTTTTGGTTGAATTGCTAAGACCTTGAGAATCACTTCCAAATGCTATAATCTAAGATACAGTAATGTGGACATATGTTAGAATAGATTCCCTTTGTGCTTAAAATTTAGCTTAAAAGCATATATTCTGAACAAGTGTAAGGTAGTACAGAGCTCTCCTAGGAAAAAGTTCATAGTCTAGAGAGTAGCTCCATGTAAGGTAACTTAATGGTGGCTTTAGACTATTATTAAAACAGCTCTTTTCAATATTTCTGTGTTGCCCTAGTCTCAGATTTTTGTTGTAATTGTGACTTTTGTCAAAATCTAGTTATTCACTCTTGTCACAAAGTTTTGGCATTCACACAGGTATGAATAGTAGCTAATAAAGCTTTAATAAAGAAATTAATGTTGGTGTTTAGTCAGCTAAACTGAGCTGACTCACTCTCGATAGTCTGTAACACTTCTCCTCCTTTTGCTGTTGCACAAATTTTTAATCAGCAAGAGAAGGTGGTAAGCCTTCTCCAGAATGCTATTGTATGTTGTTCTTTAACAATGAAATAAGAAAAAAAAAATGGGGATGTAAAGTCAGGCCTTTACAAGTAGATATGCTTTGTTTTCTGGAGACTTTGTAAACTAGTGTCTTCAGAGATAAAGTTGCCAAACAGACCTGAAATGTGCTCTAAGGGGTCTTGGGTGGGAAATGAGGAAGGTAAAATTAAAAGGAATCTCTCTGGGTGGCATAAGATCTGTGCCTTTTGTTCTTATTTTGGGTGTACTTTGGAAGCCTAATAGTGGTGGTCTCTGTACAAATTCCTATTCAGTTGTTCACAGAAACTCCTCTTTAGGGCTATAAGTTCTTATGGTAAATGGTAACTTTTGTCAAAATATGTAGTTATGTCAAAATGGTTTGGATGGTAAACTTCATAATTTCTTTCCAAAGAAGGTTAAGTTGATGCTTCCAAGGCTGTAAAACAAAATGTGCTGAAAATTAAGTTTTCTACTCTTTGCTTTGTTTCTTGTTTTAGATGTTGAGATGACCAAAGACTATAGGTGTGATCTAGCTGTGTCTCTACACTATCCTCTAGATAAGCTCCAGTTAATAGCTGAGTTTCAAAAACTTTTATTCAGTTGAACTTTTCTGTGAACATTTATAGCAGACTTAGGAAGAACAAATAAAAAGAAAGGAGGATTGGGATTTTTTGTTCTGGTTAGTTGGGGTATAGCTTACAGTTTCTGTTGCAAACTATGTTACACTGTCACAATTTTCTGTTGTTTTTAAGGAACAATTCAGGGTGAAGAAACCTGTTTGTGGGCTATTGAGGCACTGAACATATCCTACCATATTTAGTGTTGATCCCTTAAACTGTTCTGGAATTGTAAATGTCTCACTGGTGTTTGGAATAGCTGTGGACCACTCTACATTTTTACGGATGAAGAAAGGAAGCATTCAGTATAACGTGTTCTTTTACCTTTTTTGTCTCCCCCCCCCCCCCCCCCCCCCCCCCCCAGTTCTTCAAGGATCTTATGCATAGCATATGAGGTTTTGCAAGGTTTGCAATATATGAACAAACACGGAATGGTCCACCGAGCACTCTCCCCTTGCAATATTCTTTTGGATCGAAAGGTACAGCTACGGACAAATCTATGTTTTTGTTTGTTTTTTCCTCTTGCTGCCAACAGCTAGCACGCTATGTCATATATGGAGATGGGGCATTCACAGTCTTTCTGATGGGGGAAAAAAATGCATATCTGGAAAGGTGTTGGTTTTGCGTTTGCGTTTTTTAAATGGTTTCCTCCCATTTCCTAAATTTAAATGTATTTCAGATTTTATTTCTCTCTTTTCCCATTTTCTTCTATCCCAAGCCACTTTTTTCATCCTTTTCTTCTTAAGGTGTTAATCTTAAGTCAACTTGTCATTCTAATTAGTTACAAGACCTTCCTAGCTGTTCGAACAGGAAAATATTTTTTTTCTGGCTAATTAGTTGTTAATAATATTTCCTGTGTGATCTGATACTTGACTTTTACTTTGAAGATGTCAACTATATGTGTGAAATACAGGTTGTGCTCATAAAAGCTGAGAGAATTTAAGAGCTGCTGTTGCATTCAGAGCAGTCGCTTCATCTGAACTAACTCCTCTCTTCTTCCCCCTCTTTCTCAGTTTAGATGGGATAGCTAGATCCTCCCCTTGGAGGGAAGAAGGAATGAAGGAACACTATTTTTATATACTTGTAAATAGATGAAAATCATAATAATGCTCTAACAAGCAAAAGTACATTAGGATTTTAAGATACACCTAAAATCAATAAAAGAACAAAAGGGGGCCATGAGACAATAAACTTCTAAACCTTTCCCCTGCCCTTTGAATCACTTGCTGATGTAGCATTCACTGTTGCACCATCTGCAGGCTGGCTGGGTATAATTCAAAATCCAGCAGAAACAACACCTCAGTTTAACTTCTGTGTCTATTTTTTATTGTTTTGGTGTTAACTTCCTGCCTCCACAGAATAAAAGCAAGCACCTGGAAAACTTGTTTGTTTGAAGTATGTGTTGGTACAGTTAAGGAGAGCAAGATAGTAATGAGTTGATAGGAAGGACTGGAGGACCAAGGCTGGGTAAATGGAAAAGATGAGGGAATAGTGGTGATGCTTAGGGAGTTCTAGGATTCAGGCAGGACTTTGAACAGTTTTCAAACACGAAAAATATTCAGTACAGTATTACGCCTTTTTAATTTACTGAAAATATACTGTAACTTACAAGTTTTCTTGTATGTTCCAAACAAGGTGATTACTTAATGTTCTTGGAAAGTAAAAGCATTAGAAATAAATACCTTATTAACTTGCAGTGGGCTTTTGCATAACAGATGAGACAGAAATGTAAAAACGTGATTTTTTTTATAAGTATCTGTCTTCTGACAGCTAATGCAACTTGAAATGTTTTTTTGTTGTTGTTGTTTTAACTTAAACCCAGATTCTTCCAATGTCGGATTCTGCTGCTCTTGATCATCTATTTTTTTCCTTTTCAGGGACATGTGAAATTGGCTAAATTTGGACTTTACCATATGACTGCTCAAGGTGTTGATGTTGATTTTCCTATAGGGTAAGAATGTAGCTACACAATACAAATATATTGAGGATATATTTTTTTCAGGAAATATGTTTTTAGGAATCATCTTCAAAAATGTGTTGGATGCACAGATCATAGGTTGCTGTTTTAATTCATCTGTTGCACACACCCCTTACACAGAAGCTTCTGATAATGTCACTGCAGAGGTTAGCATCTGATTAGGAGAAATTAATGAAAGACAGAGAATGGGTACCATGCAGGCATGTTACTGTAACTGTGTGATACCAGTCCTTATTGTCTAGATTTGCCTTCAAATGCTAGTAGTTCCCTGTAACTCAGATTCTGGAGGTACAATCTAATTTCAAATTTAGGAAAAAGCATAATTGGTCTTTGCTGTTGCATACCACTGTAGGCCTCTTGTCTCTTCATCATTCTGTGATTTATTTTCAAGTTATCTTATTGTCTAGCCAAAGCAACATGCTTTGTTGCAGTGTTTCCTTGCCACTTTTTGTGTGTTTGTTTTTTTTTTTGTGGTGTCATGTTGTTTACAATTGAAATGCTGAGCTGATTCTTAAAGATATGCCCAAAAGAAGATCATGTTTGCCTTCAAAAAGTGATTTTAATTTGTTTTGGTTTTAAGTATTACGATGAGTTGTTGACAGGAAAAAGTGATAATGTTATTTTAAAATGATCTAGCAGCAGGTAGAATATGTCCTCAACACCTTCTGTTACATTTTTTTTTTTTACAAATTCAGAAGTTATTTGATGGGAACACAGTCAATGGAGGGGAATATGCGACCACCCCCAAATATGGGCCTAGGATACATTTATTTAATGTACTAGTGCTGAAACTCAATATAAGTTTTCTTTGAGATGTGTGGACATACTATTTTGAAAGCTGCTGTTATTTCCTCCCTTTTATGTAGTAGGCACCATGTATTTTGCAGTTGGAGTGAAACTTTGCTGCAGTGTGTAGATTTTGACTGAATAAAATAGAACAATCTGCATTGGTATGAATTCTACTTTCTCAGAATGCAAAATTATTTTAATTACTGTAACTGAAAGGTAGAGTTTTTTGGACAGACAGGATATTACTTAGTGTTTCTGTATCTTTCTAGGTACCCATCATATCTGGCACCTGAAGTAATTGCACAGGGAATAGTCAAACCAAGTGATCATACTCAGTGTGAGAAGCCTCTGCCTTCTGGCCCTAAATCAGATCTGTGGTCTCTTGGTATAATATTGTTTGAGCTGTGCATGGTATGTAAGGATAATTCTCATCATTGTGACTCTTGGGGAATAGTTACATCAACTTGATTGCTCTTGAGTAAGGGGTTAATGGCACTTTTCCTGTCACCTGAGTCCAAATACCGGAATATGTTAGCATTCTTACCTGGACAGTATTGGTGGTGGTTCAAGTAGTAGGATACATATTGGCTTGGTATGAGTACATGTGATAACCATGAAGGGCAGCTGCCTGGTAAGCCACAGTGATGTGATTGCATGATCGAATTCTTAGCAAGGAATAGCTTCTGAGCCAGGAAGTCCCTCTAGATAATTTGTTGGTGTAGTTGTGCTTTTAAGCATGAAATAACCGTTACTGTCATGCCCTCATTCTCCTTGGAAAGGATGAGAAACTAATGAAGTTTCATGGAGGGAAAGAGAAGGGAGGATCTGCTTTATCACCAGAGTTTAAAGAGCTTCTGTACAGAGTTAAGGGTTTTTTTGGAAAATGCCTATTTGACTCTAGAAGTTGAAATAAATTACGACAGCATAATCTTTACTATTTGCGTGTGTTAAACTGGACATTTTTCATTCAAAGACAACAACATTCTGTAGGGAGGTATGACAAGGGATTTTCAGATGACTTTCCAAAAGCACTGTGCGATAGTACAAGCTATGATGATTACCATTTTTAGTAATTAATTACTTTTGTTCATGCTCACGTTGGAGAAAATAAAATTTTTAAAAACCTGTTACTGAATTATTAATAAACCTGCAGGTTTGCTAAGGCAACTTGGGGCTTGGTTTGCCTATTTTTTTGGTTTTGTATTTGTTCCAGTTAAGAGGCAATATAAATAATGCATTTTTTCTTTGTGATGGCATGAAACTGTTTCTGTTATGATTGCAGTAGGTAATGTTTTCTGTTCTAACAGATAGTTTTCCTAAATCTAAAATTCATATGTAGAAGCTTATTTCACTGTCTTTGTGTATAGATGGGTGTGTATGCTATCTAAATGTTTTTATATAGTAATATTCACCTGTTGATTTGATTTTTGTTATTCACTTAGGGGAGAAAATTATTCCAGAGTTTGGAGATAGCAGAAAGATTTAAATTTATAATTATGTTAGGTAAGTAGCTCAAAAATAATTTTTTTAAGTTTCCAAGCAGTTCTATACTTAGAGCTTTACAGACTGGTCAGCTTGTGATGCTCAGACCTAAAAGCACTTCACCTTTGTCAGCTTTCATCTCCAGAGGTAAATAGGCATTTGAAGGGAGGATGCAGAGGTGGGTGCCAGGAAGAATAACTTTGCAGAAGACTATGAGTATGTTAGAGTAAGGGTAAACTATAAAAAACAAACAAACAAAACAAACAAAAAACCCCCATGTTCAGGAAAGGTGGTTATTTTTATGGTTATTTGTTGTTTTGTGTTGCAGGAGGTTTCTGAAATGAGTTAGGAATTGTATGACACTAAAGAAAACTGTCCCCACACTAGCAGTGCTTTTGTACCAAATCCCAGCAGGGAGAAACAGGACTCAAACAGGAAGACAGAAAATGAGAGCTGAGAAGCATATTACTGGATTCAGGCTTTTATTTCTGGCTTCACCTGCAAACTATAAAATATTCCTGTAGGTGTGGAAAACGAGTCTGGAAGTGGGACTGTTTTGTGGCTTTTAAAACTTGATTTCTTGTTGGGTTTATGATAAACCATGGGGAGGGGAAGGGCATGAATTTATAATTTGAAGCTTTATCAGTAAGTTGTTATTATCCAGAGCAAATAGTAATGCTGTTAAAGTTAGTTACTATTAGTACAAGCATCTTTTTCATTCAGAAGTTAGTGCTCAGGTGCTGTAATTCTGACTATTAACAAAACACTTAACAAAACAAAGCTTCCTGAAGTATTTCAGTCTCCTTCAAATTGAATGCAAGTTGTTGGTAGCCTTTACCCACTAAAAAAAATTCGTGTCCTGACTTGGGAATTATTTTCTTAATCATGTGTTGAAAACAAGTTGTAAAATACTACTGGTATTATCTGCAAGTAGCAACAAAATGAAGATTACTTTAGCCTTCTACGTGCAGGTCTCTACCAAGAGAGATAAGGACTCTACTAAGCCTGCAAAAAGATTTTCACTGTTAAATTAGATGTAATAGTTAATTTTCTTAGGCTTCAGTTTTCTGTCTGCATAGGTGGAGGTAATAATTTTCATTTCTTATTTCAAGAATTCACTTTGGGGGATATGGCCAGTCAATAAAAAGCTGAAGCTAAGTGCTTTTTATTGGGGTGGGATTTTATCTGATATCCTGTCTAATTGGTATCAATTTTCATAGTCTTTTACTTCTTATTGTTGTGTTTGTTTTTCATAGGCTGTGTAGATGATATTATAACTGTATTGGCTGAAGAACATGGCTGCCTTGATATTATTAAGGTTTGTGGAACTAGTTTGCTCTTCCATGCTGTCTTATCAAAAACATTTTATTATTGTTGCATAGTATTTCACATATATATATGTTTTTTTTGACCTATTCAGTCACTTGATATATTGCAGTATGAGTAAAAATTCTGCAGTCTGAACTACATACCTAAGATTCTTTCAGATAGCCAAGACTGGTTGGTAATATTCTTTCCTAAAATTACTGTCAATTTCAGTGGGTGTTAATGCTTTCTGGATAGCTTAAATTACACATATTCTTTAAAGTGTTGGGGGTTAAGTATTTTTCTTCTAGGCATTTTGTCTTCTATCTCATCCACTTTTACACATTCTGATAGTGTAGGTTTATACAGTTCAACTCCTCCCTACTCCCAAAATTAATCACTGAATTTTAGTGTTTGTATATTTTAAGACATAATGTAAAAGTATTCTGACAATTAGCAGAAGGGAGTTCACAGGTACTGCATTGTTTCAAGCTGGGTACAGAATATCTAAATTTAAGAAAAGCTGCATATATTGCAAATTTTTCAGATATTCCTTCCCCACTCTACCCCGCCCCCAAAGCAAATGCAGGGTTGGGGGGTGAGAAGAATTACTTGCCCAGCATTTTGGTCTGACACAGCTAACCTCATATATGTAGGTGTGACATTTTATTGCCCTAAAGGAATACCCAGTATGTTAAAAGTTAATTCCGCAAGCTGCTTAACTCATACTTAAGATAGTAATAAACAGACCTCGATATTTTTCTTATGTTCCAGGGCCTTTCTGAAAATATCATATCTCTGCTGAAGAAATGCCTTACATTCCAGCCCTCTAAGAGGCAAGTGTTCAGTCAAAACAGCTAGTAAACACTGCTGCAATACTATGAAATCAAAAGACCTGTTGCTGAACCTTTTTTTGAAATACTGACATCTTGTGCTGCCTATAAGAAGTTCTTGGTTTTGTTGCTTTTCAGTGTTTAAGGGAAAAGAATTGGAGCTGGGTGGGTGGGGGTGGGCGTGTGTGGAAATCAAGTGTGCAAAACCTTGCGATTGAATCAAAGTGTTTTGGAGGAAAAGTATTCATGTATTTGTAGTTCTAAGTTCACAACTTTTACTGATTCCATGTCTGGAGGTTGGTGATGGTTACTGTAGCCCTGTTGTAGCCAGAATTAGGACTGCTTTCTTCAAATCTCTTCATTCAAAGTACTTTTTCATTATGTCACTCCACCATAACTTTCTTCTGAAAACTGAAGTATGCTTTTGTTCTTTAATCAAAGTTTCTCATTTGCATTTTAGTTGCTCTGTACATTAAATGAAAGTGAAATCTGAACTTGGGCTGTAAACAGACTGCGTGGTGTGTTGTGCCCATAATTGAAGGAAATTGGTAGACATTTTTGCTCTTAAAATTTCTGAAATCAAATTTATTGGATAAAATAATTTAAAGTAACTTGCTAATGTTTGTTACTGGGGACATTTCTTACTGAAATATAACATTTTTGGAAGTGCTTTAGTTTTAGTGTTTTATTCTCCCTTCTTAATTCAAGGCCAACTCCAGAGGAATTGCTGCACGACAGTTTGTTCAGAGAAGTATCCTCAATATATCCTCTCTTCCACAAACCTGCTGGTCTGTTCTCATCTTCTCCAAAGTGTGCTAATTTAACGCTTCCTGAAGACATAAGTCAATTATGTAAAGGTAAAAGCAGGTATTGGGATAAATTTCATTGGAGGGGGAAGGAAATTAAATGTTTTTGTATTTTCTTTGAATACTATGTTGGAGAGGAATTATTAAATGTTAAAATACCACATTCTTGTAACAAGTTCTTTAATGGGCAGAGATACGGGCAAATATGTTTTAAGGGATGTGTGCAAGTCAAAGGAGGGCAGCTTGATTTTGTCCTTCAACCTCAGGGAATAAATAGTTATCATTAGCATTCAAATCCATCTTGAAATATCAGTATCATCTTTTGCCTTTAGAATTTGTACATGTGCATGTGTAAGGTAGTGTTTTTTCACTGAATTGTGTTGTGAAATTGTATTTGGATTCAGCTGGATCATAGCATGAGATGAGTTTTGGAAGAATTGGAAAAGTAAATCCTTGTGAAAGAAGTCACATTCTAGAATAAAAGACAACACTTCTAAGTCTAGAACTGAAGTATGCCGAAAGTGTTCCCACTCTTAAGTCCTCATTAACTTTTTCTGATGAACTGGGAGATTTCTACATGTTTAGAAAATCTCGTTATACAATTTTTGGAGACTAAGACTTTATACCATGTTAGTATGGGTATGGTATGTGAAGGGAAGATAGATTATAACTACTCAGTACGAATCTTAGTTTCTTATTTTTCCTCTTAGTGCTGTGTTGTGTACAAAATAGTGTTTGGTTTGTTTTTTTTTTTAAAGACACAGGGAAAGCAAAAGTCCACACTTCAGTGTATTTATCTTCCTGGTTTTATTTTCTGGCACCAAGGCAAACTGCAGAAATATTTGCTTTTTTTCTGACTTCTGCCCATCTGCCCTTTCCTTAAATCTTCCTAAAGGGCACTTGCAAAAGGAAGATCACTTTTTCCCCAACTTCATGTTAAGGTCTAGGACTTTTCAAGCATAATTTTATTTTTTTGTTTTCAAAATATGTGTTTAGAGTGGTAAGAAGAAATGCAAGCCGCCTAAAAAGTTGTAACTCATTTTTGTGTGGTTTCTCCTGATAGATGAAGACAGTGATTACCTAGCAGAAAGATCAATTGAAGAGGTTTATTATCTCTGGTGTTTGGCTGGAGGAGACTTGGAGAAAGAACTTGTCAACAAGGAAATAATTCGATCAAAGCCACCTGTCTGCACGCTTCCGAAGTAAGGAAGAAGCACTTTAAGGGACAGGAGGATAGATGGAGAAGGCCAGTGATCCTGAGAGAACATTTTGGTTTGATTTTTAGTTTCAAAACCTGTATGTGTGACAAATATTGAAAATAGCGTTCTTGAACAGCAGGAAATCGTATCACTTCCCCTTTTACCCAATTTAAGGCATTATTTGAATGCCTTATATCTGCTGCCTACCGGCACTTCATATTGCTTTCTGAATTTTGAGGAAATGTAGGTGAAGTGCAAAATACTGAACTGGAAGTCCTTAAATTTAACACACTTTCCAATAGCATCGAGTTTTAGTAAAAATGTCTCCCATACTTCAACAGCATATTTGTAGTTGTAATTTAATTCAATATGTTCTGTAGCAATTTCTCACATTCTGAGTTCCCTTTCACGAAGCAGCAGTGCTGAATGGTCAACCAGATCAGCTGATTACTTTTTTTGAAATGCTTAGTTTTATGACGTATAATTCTGTAACAGCATTTTACTCATTACTACTTTTATCTTACAGCTGCATACGTTGCAGTTTTATGTAGTATATTCATGTTTGAATCCTACGATCAGATCTTTATGCACGCTTAATTGTGCTTATTTAGATCATTTTGCTGACTCTGGGTTTTCAAAACACATGAAGTCCATGTACAGACAAAATGCAGTAGCTTGAAAAAAAAAAAAAAAAAGTCGAGCTAGATTTTAAGTGATATTTTGGTGGCAAAATTAGTGTGAGATTTTGAGGGATTGACTATTTCTGTAACCATAGGTAATGCATGTGCTTTTGAAAAAAGTTTTTCCCTCATAATTCATCATACTATATGTTTTGAAGATGAGGTGTTAATTTCAAAAATGCAATCTAACTCCATCTTCTAAGCAATAACTGAGAATATTAGCTTAATTTCTGGAAATTAATTTCATGTTGTCTGCTTTAAAAATATGCTTTCTTGGGTGCATTTGTATCCTTAGATGGACTGCAACAGAAAAGTTCTGGATCAGACTTTTGCTTGGGTTTAGTCATTTTGGAAAACGGCTTTCATATGACTATAATGTTTTATTTTTGCTTTTCACAATAAATGGCAGTCCTGGCCAGGTCAAGGAATAAAAGGGAATATTAATCTCGTATCTCATTACTCTTCCTATGTGTGCAAAACAAAGTTACGGAAGACCTGAAATGTACGTTTTTACAGCAAAAACTGTTTAAATAATTTAAGGTGATTGTACATTCCCCTGATAGCAGGTTTCATGCCATGCAGAGTCAATACAGTATACTTCTAAGAGCTAGTATTATGTTTGAAAGAGGAAGCTGATAGTTAATTTTTTTCTATTTTTTTGTAACTGAAGTCTTATGTTATAAAATGACCTAATTTTTTATTTTCTTCCTCACTTTTGAAGCTTTTTGTTAGAAGATGGTGAGAGCTTTGGGCAAGGACGAGACAGAAGTTGCCTCCTAGATGACACAACTGTGACTTTATCTCTGTGCCAGCTCCGAAATGTAAGAATATTGTGCACTTGTTCTTATGTCTTTACTACAGAAACATTTCTTTGAAGGGAATATGGAACAGCAGCTCCTGCTGCTTTTCCTACAAGTGACAGTGTTACTGATTCCAAGAGAACGCTTCTTGGCATCCAAGTCAGATTCTGATTTATGCTATTAAATCGCTTTGTCTGCAAAAGCTTACTAATTTTTATTTATCTTCTGTCCCTCCATCCCCTTCCTATGTCCTTACCTTCTTTTAGTTAACTGCTTTGTTCTGCTGTAGCCCAAATAGTTCTGTAGTACCTGATATTCTTCACGATTGCTAAACTAATTGGACAGTGAGTGTCTTGCATTCTTTAATTCCTGTCTGTAGGTGGCTCACAATGTTAAAGAGAGAGATAAATTCACTTGCAGGTCCTTAAAGGCTTTAAACTTAAATTTGTATACCAAGTTTCCAGTAGTTAATTACTAATCTTTGGAATATATAGCTATTAAACAACTAGTTCAAAAGATCGCTTCAAAGCATTTTGCCCAAATGGAGTAATGCTGTTTTCTTCCATCTTCAGTGGAAAAATCAACATACGATAACTCATAATTTTGCCTGATGTAATGATCAGTGACAAGATTTACTGCGTATATCACTGAAATGTTTTAATTGTTCACGTGTCTTTGCACATGTAGAGCTTTATTGCTGCAGAATTAGAAATTTATCTTGCGACTTGCTTTTCATAGTAGCGAATGCAGTTCTGTCACAGTCTTTATAAAAAAACCTTTCCATATGATTACAGGGGTTAATACAGAAAGGAAGGCGACTTCTGAAGTCTTGATATCTGCCACTATTACCTTAATTTTGGGGCAATGTGGCAGATACTGTGAAACATATTTTTTCAGTAGAACTTTGCATCACTTCACATAAACGCGTGAAAACAGACCAAGGAACTGAGTTATTTTGTTTGCTTGGTTGGTGGGGTTTGGGGGGGAGGGGGGGAGGTTAAGAATATGCAAAGCTATTTTAAAGGTAATTAGCACTGCAGCTCCTACTGTTGTTCCTACAAAAGAGCAGCTTTCAAGGCTTTTTAAAAACTTTTTAATCTGTAATTTTGGATACTGCTGCCTACTTCTATAAATACAGCAGCAAATAAATATATACTGAAGTTTCATATTGGGGAAGATACAAGCCTCTACCTTGCAGTGTTACTTGAAATCAATTTTTGAACTTATGCAATTCCTGAAACACCTTTTATAGAGCAGAGCATGGTGCTTATAATCAAAAGAAGATCCGTACTGAATGAACTGAGAATGAACTGTTCTGTCAATCCCAGGAGGAACAGGCTGTGTGCCGTATGCCTTTAAGTTAGGAATTGAACTGCAAAACAGAGCACTGCAGGGAGGATGGTATTAAACATTAATCACGATGCACCAAAGATGTCTGAAAACTTCAGGCAAAAGTCCAGGCATGCTTGTCCATCACCTTTCCAGAGAGCATCTGTATTTCTGTGCAGCTTTCAGATGCTGCTACTAAAAGGAACTCAAATTTACATAACTCTTGAGCTGATTAAAAACATGAAACCAAGTTCTGCAGTTGCTTTGCAGCTACTTGGGTAGGAAGTCCATGTAGAAAAATAAGGACAAGCAAAAGAACTGTGTAATACTGCTGGGTTTTTTTGTGTGGAAATAGGTCTATGAGTAAGATGAGTATTATCTTCAGGCAGAAGAACTTCTGTCAACTCAAAAAGCCTGTATTAGCAAAAGTTTTTGCCATTGAAGTCTGTATGTTTCTTTGCTGATGGAGTACTGAGCTAATGCTTAAGTCTTGAGGAAAGCTACTAAGTTTGGCAAATGAATTGCTAATCAATAGTTTTCATATTCCACTAAGTATTTCCACTTGAATTCTGAGGAGCATTCTGATAAGGAATTATTTTTGTTCTTTGTTTCAGAGGCTGAAAGATGTTGGTGGGGAAGCATTTTATCCATTGCTTGAAGATGAGTAAGTGTGTGTGTAAGTCTGTACATATATAATGGACTGAATTTTAAGTTATTAGTTTCATTTCAGTGGCACACTGCACAGCTAGACACAACTGTCTTCCAAAAGCAAATGTAACATGTCCTTGTTTGGCTCTTAAGTCAACAACAACTGATAACCATTCTGCACTGGTGGACTTAGGGCTGTGATACCAAACTGAAAATCAACTGTGCTGAATATTCAAAATTATCCATTTATACTTGTTTCTGACTCAGAAGCGCATCACAGGATATTAATTTTTTTCACAGTGATTTGTATTTCTTGTTGTTTACTACTATTATTCTAACTTTTTCCAGCCAGTCAACTTTACCTCATTCAAATAGTAGTAATGAGCTGTCTGCAGCTGCTAGTCTTCCTCTGATCATCCGGGAGAGGGACACAGAATACCAGCTAAATAGAATTGTCCTGTTTGACAGGCTGTTGAAGGTATGGAATCTTTCTGATGCTGGATAATTGGATTTGGTCTGTTAATTAGGGGATTTTGAAAGGACAAAGTAATTGAAAAAGGAAGCAGAGGTACAAGAGACCACACTGGGAAAGAGGGAAGAAAATCCTACAGAAGTATAAGAAGATTGAGAATAAAAATATCAGAAATAGGTCTTTTCAGTAGTGATGAATATAAAAGTAGATTTTAAAGTATGCACATGAAAATAGAGCTGCTGCTACTGCTTGTTATTTACTGATGAAAACACTTCTGCATCCTTTATTTCATATCAGGCAAGGCTATTATAGTTATAAATGTGCCTATAACCTTTCTGCATTTCCAAGCAGTAAGGTACTTGGAAACAATACCAGTCTTTACTGTAGCAGTGCCATGTTAGAAATACTGATTTTATACTGAGGGAGGGAAAATACCAGTCGCTAATTTACATATATGCAGAGAGATGGATTCTTGCTTAAGAATGAAAGCAAGCTGATGCACGTCAAGTGCAGTACTTAGGAAGGTATGAACTAGAAACGTTTAATAAAACAAGCTTGGATACATAGTATGAAAAGAAATGTATAATGAAGGAAAAACTTTTAATAAAATTTAGACTAGTAAATTTATATGCCCGGTATATACCAAAGCGGATGAATACATTTACGAGAAGGAGTGGGTATTTTAACATCAAACAGTAGTCCTCCATCCAGGCCTTGCAGTTAGGCGTAAAATTTGCTTGTAGTATATACTTGTATTCACTGTTCAGGCTGGCGGCATTTGTCCTTTGGGGGAAAGACCGTCCCAGGTTTGGGTTTTGAATTGTTTCATGGTAACATTTTTTGCTGTTAATTTCTTCTCTTGAAGGCCTACCCATATAAGAAAAACCAAATTTGGAAAGAAGCCAGGGTTGACATTCCCCCTCTTCTGAGAGGCTTAACCTGGGCTGCCCTGCTGGGTGTTGAGGTAAGGGCAATGGGAGGGGCATTTGCAGAAGTTCCAGTACTGACTGGGGAGGGAATGGGATAGGAATGGGATTGACAGGGAAGATGGAATGGATTTGAAGATTTAGCAGGTAGAATTACTGGAATTTCAAACAAAATGAGCCATGAAATTGTGTGAACAAAGACAATGTTCAGATAAAGTTGCATCTTGTCTCTAATATTATTTGATTTCAGAGAATGTGTGCAAACTTGACTACCTTTAATTTTGATTATGGGATGGAAAAATACTACCCATACAGCCAAATTTGCTAGATTGTTTAAGTACAATTGGTAGTTAACAGGTTTTTTTGTTTGATTTTTAGTATTTTTGACAAATGCAGTTAGAATCCTTCTGCTCCAGTCAGCAATAGTTGGGCAAAGCAGAATGCAGCATATCACACGTATTTTTCTCGCCTACCAATCAATGCACTTTCTCTAAAGACTGGAGGAGAAATAAATTAAACTTTTGGACAAAGGACTAGAAAGTAATGTCCCAGAAATGAGGGCTCCTCACAAAGATTGCTTGACTACGTAGCTTTTGAATCTACCCTGCTTGCCACCTGCAGTAGTGCAGCAAAGAGGTTCTTATAGATAACACATCCCAGGTTTTTGAGGATTAGTTTAGGATGTGATCTGTTGAGTGCTATATAATATGACCAAAAAAAGCTGTAAAGAACAACTGCTGGTCAGGGTTGTAGCCTGCTTCTTGGGAGATGAGTCAGTTCCCATGCTTCATCAGCATCTGTACAATGCGGGTAGTGTTTCCCTGTCCCATAATATTAAGATGGACTTGGTAGCATGCCTGTCTTGGGATTCATGCAGGGACAGGCTATCTAAGAGTAGTGTATATTGGTAATATCAATATTAATTAACAGGCAGACGGATTTAGTGCCTTTACAGAGATGGTACTTAAAGCCACTTGCCAGTTGCTGAGATACGCACTGGATTTAAATTGGGAACATCTCTTAACTTGAAAATGCAAAACTGTTTTGTACGTAGCTTTTTACATAAACAACTGAAAATTACTGAAGATCACACTGAGGATGTCACAGAAAGGTCTATATGTCCTGAATGATAACAGAATAAAGATGGTTTTGTTAAAATTCAGCTGTCACAATTTTCTGTACTTGGAGAAATTTTTTCAGGAAAAAAAATTGCTAACTATAGCACCTAACAAAACCAGTCAGCTTCTGTATGTCAGTGTGTACGTTGTAATATGCATTTAGTTAGTAAGGGCTTTCTAAATTGAAGTATTCTTCTTCCACATTTAGGGTGCCATACAAGCGAAGTATGATGCCATTGATAAAGACACACCGATTCCTACAGACAGACAAGTAAGACTTCCAGTGTTACCAAATATTGTCACTTGAAGTAATGCAAAGATCTTTTCCATCAGTTGCAGTCATTTGCCTATTACAGCAGATGTGGCTGATAATACTGAAAGGGTTCCCCCTGTCCCCTAATCTTAATCAAGCTGTAGCAAGAACCTTGCAAAACAGATAGGAACAAATAGTTTAACTCAAATTATGTTATAACGTGGAAAGTTAAATCGTCTTTTACTTCAGAATCACTGTATTTTCTTTAGCAGCAGCAAAGTATAGTGAACAGTATTACTGATGTGTTGTTGTAAGTCCTGTTTTTTATCGAACGTTTGTTGTGCCTGTTGGACCTTGTACCAGAGTGCTGAGTACCCTGAAAGCCTGTAAGGTGAGCTGTGCTTCACAGAAACGGGTTCTTGAGCAATTTGGTTCTCCAAGAAATGTTCTTGCCAGACATAAAAAGACATCACAAGCAACAGCTGTTCCTTTCAGCTGGGTGAAATAGTATTTTCCATCAAATTGGGTACAGTGTTCTGAGAACTCTGATTTGACTATCCTTTAGAGCAAAGTAATATTAGCACCTGAAGTGAGTCCAAAAGTTGGGGTAGTAGAAAAAAATATAACTCTAATCTGCTTTCTGCCTTTTTCAAGGGTTAGAACCCTTTCAAAAATGTGAATCTGGAAAAAGAAGAAAAACCTCTGGTTTTAATCTTTGACAAGGCTGTTAGTCTCCTGTCCCCTTTTAGTTTGGGTTTTGAGAGTGGTGGAGGAAGCAGATTGTGTTTATGGTGGTGGTCTGACCTGCATTCTTTGGCTGACTTCCACCTCTAGTGTTGATAGATTGCTGTAGTACTACCTCATTTATCCTGATTTCTCTTTATATTATACATTTGGCTATGGTGCAGATTGAAGTTGATATTCCTCGTTGCCATCAGTATGATGAATTGCTGTCATCACCAGAGGGTCATGCAAAGTTTAGACGTGTTTTGAAGGCCTGGGTTGTTTCCCATCCTGATTTGGTGTACTGGCAAGGTGAGTTTGACTAGTTGGCAAGATCAGATAATTAACTGGAAAGCTATGGCTGACTTAAAAGTACCTCCCACAATGTAAGCTTCTTTTGAGTGCTTGCCTTTCTGTTTGTTTGGTTTTTTTAAATGAAGCAGTGGGTTATTGCAAATTTAGATCCTAATAATTTATAGTTAATTTGTAATGCAAAATTGCCCCACTCTTTATATTTATTCTTCCTTAAGTTTCAGTCACTTTATTTAAATAAATAAAAGAAAAAAAGTCTGCTTACTGTTCTGTTCCAAGGTAAAACTGCAGAAGTTACTGTGCAAGTTCTTGGGATGGTAAGCTGCATTTCTTGGAAGCCCTGGCAGAATAACAATTTCAGCATTATAGTTCAACAATTTGGAATCCTCTCTGTTTTCATACATTAATTTCACAGTTGTTCTCAGCATTACATGTGAAGCCTGACATTGCAGAATTATAATCAGTTTCAAGTATGCAAGTTCTCATGATAAGTTAATGAATTTATCTTGCACGTTACAACAAATGAGCACTCTATGCCATTTCCTCATGGCTCTTTTCTCTTTAGGCCTTGACTCTCTTTGTGCACCATTTCTGTACTTGAATTTTAACAATGAAGGTGAGTACCTTGTTCTGCTGGGGGTGAAGGGGAAACATAGTCTGTTATCTATATCTATAGTTGTAGACAAAGGTGTATGCACCCGGTTATAGATGGAAACTTTCTGTAGCTACAAAGGAATTTTAAAGCGCTTGTTGCCACAGGTCAACAGAAATGGTTCCTGAAAGGTGTATGTGGTATACTGCACTTCAAGCGGGGGTCACATTTTATTGCTGTGTTTGTTGCCAAGTACCATTATGAATATATAATAAAAAGTGCAAGTAACCTTGATTACAGAAAAGCAAGAACTGCTGCTCTAGTACTTGTCTTTCAGTGAAGCTGTAGTTCAGCCTTGTTTAATGTGAATGCATTATTTGTTAACCTACCTGTTAACCTGCCAGACTAGCTTTTTCAGAAAAGCTGATGATGGTTTTAAATGACTAAAAGCTGATCAGACCAGCTTTGGATAAGTGGCCTGTATCTTTTTAGAATGTGATTTGTTCAGAATAGGTGTAGTCCAATCTTCTGTTCTCTTGCACCTGGCTTTCTTTATATGAAGTCTGCGGGTGGGAAAACTAGTCTCTTAGGACAATGATTCCTCTTATGCTTACCGTGCATACTAATTTAAATAGTTCAACAGATCTTGCTCTTGGACATGTTCCTATACAGTTGGATTGTAGAACCTGGTTTCCTTCCCATTGAAGCAAAATACAATAGTAGTGAATTATATAGAGTTTTGTGTTCTGGTTTTACAAACATAATCGTACACATTTGGCTCAGATATATAAAAAGTGTTTTCAATGATAGGAAAGTTGTAACACTGAATTCGTTTATAACGTGATCCTATGTCATATTTGCTATAAATCTGATGTTTTGCTTAGAAACTTCCAAAATTATGTTTATTGTCAGTTTATGGCAAACCTGTATTTCTTTAGCACCATGGCTAAGAATTGTGTTACAATAGATTGTCCTTCAGCCAGGTTCCCAGGAATTAATCAAAGGGATAAACACTGAAGTTTTTACCCTTTAATGTCTATTTGCTATGTATATGAGGAGCCATTGAGAAATTGGTTCTTGTCCATCTTTTTGGCAATGTTTTTAATTATATTGCACTCTGTTTTTTCTTCTGAATTCTATCACCTTTAGTCTCTCAGCTGAAGTAAGAGAGGAGATGCAAGTCTGATGGGGCATAGACTGGGTGTAAATTCTGTAGGAGAAAACCCAGAAGACTGCAACAACGCAGTTGTCTGAAACTGTCTTCTAAAACTTTGTTCATCCAGGGACCTTCACTTTTTCATACAATCGTCACCATGGCTTTCCAAACATCATCTCATTACTTTGTCACTGAGAAGTATGGAAATAAACTGGGAGCAGATCAGGTCCAGCCAACTTTATATTGATTACTCAGTGACAGGAGGAGACTTTTTTAGGAGCTTTTAAAATTCTTTCATGAGGAATGTGCCCTTTTTATATCACTTTTGTGTCTAGATTGATTTCAGTATTTATGCTTATCTGCTTAATAATGAACTTCTTTAGGTGTCCTTACATTTCTACATCTGTAGTTGCATCCATTTTTCTAATTCTTTCAGCTCTGGCGTATGCCTGCATGTCTGCCTTTATTCCCAAGTATTTGTATAACTTCTTTCTGAAGGATAACTCTCATGTTATTCAAGGTAAGTAGGTCCCTTTATTTATTTATTTAGTTCTAAGAGAAGTAGAATTATTTCTGGATATATAAATACACTTTTTCAAGTGGTTGTAAAATTGGAACACAATTAGATCACACTGTAGAAGTAACCACCTATTTCTTTCAAAAGCTTTGTTTTAGATAAATAAGGACAACAGCTGTGCAAGAAAAATAGGAACAAAATAAGTGGATAAAGATTCAGGCAGGAGAAAAAAAACCCAACTGCACCCACAGACACACACAAAATAAAATTCTTTGAAATATCCGAGGTAAGAGTCAGTTGATAATGCAAAGTTGTAAAATGAGGAAGTAGTCTTTCCAGTGTTAGATTGTAAAGACCTGCCCTTTAGGTATTCAAAATCATACTGTTACAGGAGCTATTTTGAGAATGAGGGAAACTGAAGAGGAACCATAAAAACTAAGGAGTCCTCAGAAAATGGAAGTTATGGTATTTGGAGAGTTAGGGATTTGAGGGGAATTTCTTACTGGACAGAAGACCGTGTCATTCAATACAGAACAGGAGCTGGAAAACCCTGAGGAATAATGTTCCATAGTTCAATCTTCAGCAACTATACAGGCAACTCAGAGAAATTAAAACAATATCTAGGAGGTAAATTTCTGTTCTACTTGAAAATTAATTGTAAATTTCATGGAAACACATAAGAGGAATTGTCTAGACCTAGAAAGCCACCTTGGCACAGTGTATTAGATAATTTGTCTTGAAGACAGTTTCTAAAAACCGAAAGAAGCTATTTGAAAAGCCATCAGTAGTTTAAAAAAGCAGGTGATAATCAATGTTTTTAATTGCAAGAAGTTATGAGTGTTTACTGAATGCTGGGTTTCAGCGTAGCTTGCTGACCGTGTGTTTCTTTTAAAGAAATTTTTGTGTACAACTTGTGAAACTCCTCAGCTTAGAAATTATGTCTGTCATTTTTTTGTCTTCAAAAAACAAAAGGAAATTAAGAGCTGATCAACAAAAAATAATTATACATAAAAGCAGTTATGTGTTGGATAACAGGGAGAGCTAAAATAAGAAGAGAACACAGTCATTAGGCGAGTTTACATATGAAAGACAATGGAAAAGAGGTATTATGAACTGAATATGTAAAATGATATATGGGAAGAACTATTCAAAAGACCTTGTTTGCATCCTTTTGTCTGTAAAGAAAGAGTGCTTGCTGGAAAAAAAAAGAGGCAGTAAAGGTCTGAAGATGAAAAGAGTAAGTATCTTATATCAGATGTTCCTGTGGAGACAACTACTTTAGACTTCAAGGCTAATAGCTTGGTAAAGACTTTTGTCAAGGGGGTATACTCTTCCATAAAGTATAAACTTCTGCCCTCTAGTGTTCCCTGATGTTATTCCTAAGGGGCTTTACAAAAATATGTATCAGCCAAAGTTAGAAATATAGGTC